TACACCCTATACAACCCTCATCTCAACCATTCAATTTTTAATCAATTAATTGTTTCCTAATATAAAGTATTAATCATAATTAATAAACTCTATTCATATTCCATAAATATTCAAATCATAATAAATGAACTTCAATCATTTCTATAAATATCTCAATTAATTGGGTTGTAAAGGTTGTACAAATGCAGAAGTTTGTAAAAGAAATATACCCTATATATATATATTTAAATTTGTATGATATCTTCAAATTTATATTTTATTCAAAAATAAAATTATTATTGCTTTATTAAAAACACATAAAATCGTATTATAACATCAACAGAGACAAATAATAAAATAGAACATTAAAATCGAGACACGTATCGTTGCATTGCGTGAGTACTCTTATAGTTTTTAATAAAAGAATGAAGAACCAAGTGTTTGAATGACCAAAATACTCTTTAAACAAATAAGAGATAGAAAAAAAAAGACAACTGATATCGAATAAACCAGGTACTAAAATGACAAAAATAAAAATTGATATAACAAAAAGTAAAAGTAAAATATATTATTATGATTAATATGTAATATTTAGCATATTTATGAAGGTCAAAAGAATGTGTTTTTCCTTGTGATTGAAGAAAAGTGTTGTACCTTTTGAAAAATCCTAAGCTACCCATAACTTGTAGTTAACATTAGGTTTATGATTAACTTAAAATAACCATCATTTTTATTTATAAAAAAAAGTCCCCAATTTATAAGATATTAAGTATGGGACTGAATCGAGTCGAATCGTAGGTTATTTGAGCTAGACTTGAAAAAACTACCTGGTTCGAGCATGACTTGAGCTTGAATAAGTTTTTCAAGGTGGGGCAAGAGGGCTCGAATATATTTTCAATGTACGAGGTTGAACTTGATATTATTTACGGGCTTGAACTCGAAATTGATTAGCTCGATTATTGGTTCGACGTCAATAATTTATAAACTTTGGTTATATGATTTTATGAACATGTTTGGCTTGACTCTAAAGTTTTAGTCGAACTTTCAAATGAGCTAGGTCAACATTGGTATTATTGAACTCGACCGGTTAATTTAAACGAGTTTTAGTGTATGTTCGAGATCGACTCGAGCAGCTCGTTAATATCGCGAAAGATTGACAATCCTAGATCCAAGTGAAAAAATATATTTTAACATATATATATATATATATATACACACACACACACCATTTGATGAAGATATTGGATGGTTAAGATGTAGTTGTATTAGTTGTAACAATTAGAGATGTTGCATAATAAACCACCCATATATATAGGTAAATGATTATGTGAGAAAGAAGTTATAATGAAAAATATAATAAAAGATCTGAACCCTTGATCACTTCTAATTTCATGTTCATCCACGAATTGTGCTTTAGAACGGAATTGATCTGGTTCATCTCGATGCACCTCATTAGTATTGACATTCAATTAGGATTGATCCAAAGATTCAAGAATGAAAATCTCTTCTTACTCTTCTCACCATAATTTTCTTATCACCAGAACTCAATCATATAGATATATAGTCGAAATCGTTTGAGAAGAGTTAATGTGAGAAGCGTAAAAAGATATTTGAACCATTGATCACCTTTAAATTCAAACTCACTCATGAATCGTATTTGATACAAGGATTTATCGAAGGCTAAGAATCATTCTTACGCTTCTCACTTTAACTCTCTTTCTCACCAAAACCAACCTTTTATATAACAATGCAAAAATACATATAAAAAAACAAAAGGAACTGTTTCAGAAACACGAAGCAAAAGTTGTGGACAAACTCTTTAAGTGGAGATGTTTCGCATATAAATCATGGAATCCCAATTATTAAAATTTATTGTAATCTAAAATAGAGGAATAATGTATTTAGTGTTTAATAAGTCTGATTTCAGTTAACAGGATAGTGGTATGACTTTGTTTAAATACAAAACAGATCTTAGGTTTGATCGAGAGTTCCACTAGTCTCGGTTGCCGAGTACGTCAAAAGAATGTCCTCTCATATTGATGTCCTTAAAAGCAAGTACCATACAGGTTGTCGATAATCAAGTTTTGGGAAATAAGTTTGATTTTTCTTAACAATTTAATTGTAAATGTATTGTTCTTTGAGTTGCATCTATGCAATTTTTAGATATTTTTCAAAGCAAAGCAAAATGTAAACCACATATATACTTGTGAAAGATGTGGTCTCAATTTCGATACCCAAAAATTTGAAGTTTACTCTAAAATAATCTAATAATATTTTATAAACCATATTTATCAAAAGTCCTAAAACAGCTCATAATACGTTAAATACTACTACTTTATGCATTCAGTATTAAAATCTCTTAATCTACAATTAAAATAACATATAATACAAGTTACCAATACACATTATTACATTTTCTTTTCATGTCACCAAAATACTTTTGATACATTTCACTTATGACTTCACCATCTCATATCTCTGTCTTCTCTCCATCCTCCAAGGTGAGATTCAAACTGATATTCACCATGAGTTATTAAAAACTTTCTCATTCATCTCCCATTTAATAACTCTTGGTCTCGCTCTCGCGATTCTTTGCTCTTGGTGTAAATCAAACACATTTGTGGAGTCATTTAAACATATTGAATTTTAAGCTGTCATACAATTTTTGTCATCAATAAACTGTAATTGAAACCATAACTCTTATTTATTCAAATTGTATTAATATATAAAAACCAAGTATAACTTATATAATTGTTAAATCTTCTCTAATAAAACAATTGAAACTTCAAAATCATTAAAATTCACAACTCCCGCCTCATTATGCAGATACACAACTAGTATAAAATAAAATTCAATGTCCATCACATGAAAACTTTTTTAAGACATTGAACAATTTGGTAAAAGAGAATTGACAATCAAATGAAGCTATAGTACGTTTCAAAAATGCCTGCATAGGTCATAAAATACAACTAAAACATCATCCATTTTGTATAAATAATCAATTTTTCTTCATTCAGAATAAGACTTTCCTTGTCAATAGCTGTTTAATAATATCAAATTCCAAATAAAAAGTCTCTATTTCAAGACATGCCACAAATCCAAAAAGGAAAAGAAGCTTCAAACAAGTACCAAAATAAAGCAAATACCATGGTTACTGAATCAAACATAAATTCAAATCACTTGAAAAAAAAGGGTTTCTAGTACAGAATTCCACTAATATTCCATCAAACCCAAAACTAAGTATCACAAAATTGTTATAATAGGAACAACCCTTTAAACACCAACCAACAATCATACCTTCCTTTTCTTCTCTCGGCTACAAGCTGCAACACAAAATCCATTCAGATCCATGTGAGATTTAAATCCTTCAAATTCCTAGTGAATATACAGAGCGAAACATGCTGATTATGCCCGAATAAGACTATTCATGCTAATAGTTAGATGATTAGGAGCACAGGAAAAGGTAATGTAACATGAAATTGACATATACCCCACAAGAACTACCCAATCAACTTCAAAGCAAAGTGAAATGGAAAAGATTCTTGTACTGCATGCAAACAAATCCATGCGTGAAAACAACTACCACCATAAATTCACGCAACTACCACCATAAATTTAGAAGAAACATGTCGCTAAAACATTGATATTGGTTTCTGTTTTGCTTTTGTAGGCATGTGTAGATAGACATAAACATCCATGTTTCTAAGACTCGTATCAAACAGTGCATAAATAGTTTCAAGTCTAAAAACCCCTGGTTGTTCAAGCCACCTTGGAAACAAGACCAACTGGGTACCATTATCTATAACGGAAAAGATTCTTCTTTTGAATCTCAACCTTCGCTCACAATTGTGACTATCTTCTAGTAAACGAAAAAGAAGATATGGGATTCAACTATCTCAGAGAGGCAGCAAAGCATACGTCGGAGGTTAAAACTGAAAGAATGACTCCAGAGACTATTTTGGAAGTGTTTGTATATTTATTAAATGACTAAAATTCCCTCAAATTAAAATTCCCTCCAATTGTGAAATTGATACTTTAAATGCATATACATGATATGGTTCTAACTTCGAACTTCCAAGAAATGGTTGTTCTTTGGTTCACTTTGAAGCAGCAAAAGTAGACAAATTACAAGTAAAACTTCATCCATTCAAGAAATATGCAAGTACATACTCCAAACTTTGTACAAGGTATGCATTCTTGGACAAATGTCTAATATTCCCTCTAATGTTCAAATGGGTATTTTAAATTGAAAATTTACCACAAAATATATGTCACAACAAATGCAAAATCTCAAACAGGACCTAGAAGGAGGGTCCAGCCATCAAAAAATTTCAAACCTGGACATCTAAGCCTCCACATCCTGCACATTGTAGAATACATAATCTCTCTACTAAACATAAGGGCTTATTGTACTACTACTGCTCTACAAATTCACCTAAGGTAGAAACTGCTATTGATATTGTTATGTGAACGACATTAACATTTGCACATGAAAAACTCCTAATTCAAAAGCAAAACTAAAAAACAAGAGCATGAATAGATAAAGACATTACCTTAGATATTGCTTGGGTACATGAACACCCTCACCCTAGATCCCTGCAATTAAAATAGCAAAACATCTAAGAAAATCCACAACCAAACACACAAAAAATGCTGCAAATTTTCATTTATGAGTGTAAAATTACCATGGATTTAGGAGGGAGGTTGGACTTGAACTTAGCACGAACAATACCGGTGTTACCATGAGGCCTAGTAACTTTCCCCCAAATGCACCGATAGTGTGATCCATTTCTCTTCACCTTAGCCTTGTAGATGTACGCCATGCGTTTCCCTTGGTACCATGCTACCTCCTCTTTGGTGTTCACTCCTTCAATTTGAACCAAAGATGTGTTCGGGTACTGGTTCGACTTCGACCTAATGAAAACCATTCAAATAGTAAAAATCCTCCATTTTCAACGTTTCAAAAACACAAACCACAAATTCGACGGATAAAAATCCAATGCATCATGAACCAAAATGTACCTCTTGTAACCTAGAACCGTTCCTCTGGTGTAAAGCCTGAAATAAGAAGACAAACATTAGGAATTGAAGATGATAATTTGGATGTTAAGATTTTGGGGGAAAGTATTATACCTGACACGTTCTCCTTGGCGTCCCTTCACCATTTTTGCTTCACCACCAAAGACTTGCCGACGCCTGCGCTGAAGAAGAAGACTAGAAACCCTAATGTTGCAATCGTGGTGAATGTTAGATATATGGATAAATGTCAGATGGGGTGATTTTAGGGTATGGGCCTACGAGTGTTGCTGGGCCCAATGGTGACTGCTTTCCAACTTCCAATCCAAGTTACGGCCCATTTAGAAATTGTTGACTCATTTTTTCTATTTAAATTCTCTTTTTACCATTTAATGTTAGATGTTTAAATCGGTTTACACAATTAAATTCGAGTTTTGATGCGTGGTAGAATTATAATGATATGTTATCATGATTACAGCATTTTAAAAAAGTTTAATTAAATAATATTCTTTTAATAATGTTTATAAATAAACGAATAATATTTTTATAAATCCAATAACGTAACAATTATTTGTGAAGTCAAATGATGCAATATCTAATGCACGATACAATCGTGGTCGGATAAACAAACAAATATTCAAATAATAAGATAAGAAGCTGTTTATTAAATGCTCATCGACTAAGTTTTTTGCCCGTAGTAAGAGTCATCACTCTCACTTACCTTAACGAGTAACATTTTTTACCATAAAAATAGATTGCGATAACTGTATTTTAACTGGTAAAAATCTTCTCAATACTTACAGGATAAAATTCTTGGTCCTGTTATACCTCTCACCGGGTAAGATTCATGGTGTTTTTCATTCTCACGGGTAAGTGACACATGGTAAGAGTTTGATAACTACGACCCATAAATCTTCATTTGATCCATATCTAACTGTATTTTGTTCGACATTGTGTTGGGGGGTATAACTTGATATCCAAATCTATATGCAAAATGGAAAGTGCTGAATGTTTGTTACACTAATTTCGGTGTTATCTCACTTCATCAAACACCGAAAATCATCAGTGTTAGCACCTCTTATACAACATAATGACATCCAACGGTCCCAAATTCTAGTTAATTCGCTCTGATTTAATGGTGCTACTCAAATCTAATACATGGACTCTTTTATTAAAAAAGAAAAAACAACAATTCCTTTGATAATCCGAATGAAAATGAGTTCAGCTGTACCAGTCGAGAAAAAGAACAGAAAAAGTAAGCACAATTAAGAAAAGCAAAAGGAATGTTCTGCTACTGCTATTTCGCTGGATGGCTTGGGTCAGCTCCTTGTTACCCATCTCTACATTCTTCGTTGCTTCAATCGCCTACGACAATCAAATTAACTTACTAACATTGCTTTACTCTCGGTGAGAATGGAAGTTATGGTGAGAAGCGATCTCCACCCTTGGATCAATCATAATTGAAGAGATGCACCGGATTCATCCAGATACCTTAACTTCTATTCTCACACGATCCAAAAGCAAATGAATTAACATAAATAAGTCAGTTTTCTCACCTGGTCATACAAATACTCTATTTGTTGAGCCTGTTGCAAGACATGCGTTGACATGAGATGATTCAATGCCGACATCTCTACCATCTTGGTTTCGGTGTCACGGGCAGCATCAAGAAGGCTTGACAACTCCACCTGAACCAAGTTAAGTCACACAACCGTTAACCACAACTTTGGATTTCCAAAACACAATTGATGATAACATACCTGAAGAGCACGTGTTTCATCATCTAAAAGCTGCTGCTGCTGGACTTTCATGGGTTCGGCTTGAATTTCGCCTGAACTTGCTGCTTCCCTTGTCTCCTGACTGTTGCTAGATTGAAAGACATCATTAGAAGTTTTCTCAGGAGCCCGCTTTGGTTTTCTCCTAGGCATAGCTCGATTAATAGCATCTTGAAAGCGTACAGCTCGGAGTTGATCAAATTGTGATGTGACTGAATGAAGCCTTTCACTTAAGATCAAAACCTGACATAAATGTAAATGAAAAATAATCAACTGGCACTTAAAATATAGATACCGAGGAAAAATTATACATACCACTCCATGTTTGTGCGCGATAGTATCAGCATTAGCATCACCCCTGATGCCAAGCCAACCCTTTGAATTCGCTTCTTCATCAGTTATGCTATTTTTCAGTATGTCAATCTGTTCTTTACAGGCTTTCACAAATACGCTAACCTGCAAAACAGTTGTAGATTGTCGAAATGTAAATATATAATTACGGAATATAGTTTCTATGATTATAGGATATCATTACCTTCTCTATCGTTATCTTTTCTGCATCTTTTCCTTGATTTCATTGATTTAGTTTCCCTTTTATCTCTTGTAAATACCCTATATATAGGGCCGTGTATAATCAAAGGATAGTGTGAAAATCATTATTAAATTCATCTTTCTTGTCATGGTATCAGAGCTTTAGGTTTCTCTCAGAAATCTAAAACCCTTGCTCTATTTTTTCAGCCTTAATTGCTCTTCTCAGTGTGCAACCTTTATCATTGCAAGCGTTTCTGATCGAACAGCCTTAATTGCTGTATTTCCTTTGATTGAACGACATCCCTGTTATTCTCTTTTGCAATTCCCTTTCCTTCATCATGACAAAACCCACAAATAATGACACCACCATTGTTAAATCCTCCGATGAGTATAATTTTGTCCAAAAAATTGTTGATTTGCAGAATATTCGGGCACCCTATAGACTCGATGACAAAAACTATCGCAAGTGGTCTCAATTTGTCCGAACATACCTGAAGGGCAAAGGGAGACTCAAATACCTCATTGAAGCAGGTCCTGCTGTAGATGATCCAACATTTGGAACTTGGGACGAGGAAGATTCCATGATAATGTCATGGCTATGGGAATCTATGGACCCAATGATCAGTGACACATGCATGGTTCCTCCACTGCAAAAGAGATATGGAAATTTGTTCGCCGCACTTATTCGAAGGCTCGTGATGCGGCTCACGTATACCAGATCAAGGTTAAAACCTCAGCCACAAGGCAAGGAAACAATTCTGTCACTGAATATGCAAATATATTTCAAAATCTGTGACAGGAACTTGATCATTATAATATTTGAAAAAGACCGAGTCTACGATTTTTTGGCTGGTTTAAATCCTAAATTTGATCAAGTCGGGATTCAAATACTTGGCAGAGAAGACAGACCATCACTTGAAGAAGTGATCTCTTTGATCAAAATAGAAGAAAGCAGGAGGAATGTCATGTTTGAACCACAAGCCATGGACGGATCAGCCCTAGCAACAAGGACCAATCAACAAGAAAGGAGAAATCTATCCAAGTTCAGGGTAAGGAAACTCAGGAGAACAGAGATAGTCTTTGGTGCACATACCGGCATACCGCAAATAAACCAAGACACTCAAAAGAAAAATGCTAGAAATTAAATGGGAAACCACCCAGCAGAAAATGGGGAAACCGTTGTGGACAACAAAGTCGTGAATGGGGAACCCATGGGGGGCAACAAAAGCCTCAATGGAGGCAGCAGAGATCTCAGGCACACATTGTTGAGCAATCCAAACCAGAGGAGAATTCAGCAAGAGAAGAGTTCAGCAACGAAGAAATTGAGAGGTTAAAGAATTTTTTGGGTTCTATGGAAAAGTCATCAAGAACTTGCTCGTTAACTCTTTCAGGTAAACCACCTTTTCCTTCTTGTCGACTAATGGATGATAGATTCTGGTGCCACTGATCATATGACATCTTCTTCAAAAAAAAATTCATAATTACACTCCATGCCCTAGCAACCGAAAGATTACAGTAGCCAATGGCTCATTAGCAACTGTTGCAGCCTTTAGAGATATACATATCACACCCAACCTTGTCTTAAAAAATGTCTTACATGTACCAAAACTGTCAGCCAGCCTTGTTTCAATCCAAAAACCACCCATGATCTTAAATGTTTTGCTATTTTTTCTTCTTCATATTGTGTTTTTTAGGAACAAGACTCGAGGAAGAGGATTGGACTTGTTAAGGAAAGGAATGGCCTTTATCATCTTCAAACTTCCCAGAAAAGCAACGTTCCACCTTCATCCTTTCTCAGTTCATCTAATAAAGATACAATCTGACCTGCGTCGAGGTCACCCATTTAGAGTTTTAAATGTGTCATGTTTCCTCATCTATTTCAAGGATTAGATATTTTTAAGAATTGGCCAAACATACTTGTGTTTCTTTTCCTATGAGTAATAAAAGGAGCTCTCTTCCATTCCAGTTAATTCATAGTGACATATGGAGACCTTCTAACATACCTAATGTGTATGGGGTTCGTTGGTTTGTATCCCTAATTGATGATTGCACTCGGGTTACATGGCTCTTCCTCCTTAAACACATATCTAAAGTTAGCATTGTTATACCCAACTTCCACTCAATGATTCAAAACCAGTTTGGGGTCAAAATAAAGAGTTTTGGGACCGATAATGCCAAGAACTATTTCAACCAAATTTTATCACCCTACTTTCAATCACAAGGCATTATCCATGATTCTTCATGTGTTAACACACCCCAACAAAATGGGGTAGCTGAAAGGAAAAATGGTCATTTACTTAACACTACCCGAGCATTGCTTTTCCAGGGAAATGTTCTTAAATCCTATTGGGGGGAAGTTGTCATTGCTTCCACACACATGATAAATAGGCTTCCTTCACGCACATTGGGAAATAAAACTCCCATCCCATGGAACTTCTTGATGACTTCTACCCTCACTTCAGAACATCAAATGGTCTCAGTCTCACACCCAAGATTGTTGGGTGCACTGCCTTTGTTCACATCCATAACCAACATAGAAGCAAACTAGACCCTCGTCCTTGGTTACTCATCCACTCAAAAAGGGTACAAATGCTACGATCCCTCATCCCACAAATTCTACATCTCTGTTGACGTCACTTTCAAAGAAAACAAACCTTTTTTCTCCAAGTCCTCTCTTCAGGGGGAGAATTCAATAATGGAAGATAGTCCTTGGGAAACTTTTGAACCACTCAAAGAACTTGACCTCCCAACTCGTAGTGTTGATTCCACATCAAAGTCCATAGAGGAGGAACAAGTCGCATCCAAGTCATCCACCCCTCTGAATGAACCCTAACCATCTAATGATCCAGAAGAACTTGATTCAAACCCAAGTAGGGTCGATGTCTCCAACAATTCTCTAAATCCTCCTCAAGTGTATACAAGAAGAAAGGTCGTTCCTACGCCAACGCAAGTCCAAAACTACGACTCAGGTCTTGGGAATGAGAACACGGTAAGAGTTAATCCACCTTTACACACACAACATGCTTCCATGGATACCAAAGATGATCTACCCATTGCCAAGAGAAAAGGGACTTGAGAATGCTCTAAACGACCGTTGTATCCATTATCTCACTATGTCTCTCTTGAACGCCTATCCCGAACCAACAAAAGGTTCATTATGAGGCCAAATATCATTTCTATCCCTACCAATGTTTATGAGGCATTATTAAAAAGGAAACGGGGGATTGTAGATGGAATCGTGGATTGAATTTACCTGTTTGATTGTAGACAATCATTCATAGGGATTTTGGATCTCCAAACCACTGAATACTCAAAATCATCGATGGAATCGTGGATTAAATTTACCTGTTTGATTATAGACAATCGTTCATAGGGATTTTGGATCTCCAAACCACTGAATCTCTGTAATAGCTCCTGAGTTAATTGCTCCCAGGTCAGTTCTCCATGGATTTCCTTTACCACTGCAAACCAGTGTTGAGCAACTCCACACATGCTGATTTGAGCCAAACGAATCGGAAGATTGTTAGTTGTCCCATTCGAAATACAATTCTGCTTTAGCAATCCAACCACGAGGATCGAATCCAAAGAATTATGGAAGTTTAATCTTCTTTGTCACATAGTTTAGATCTCCCTGAATTGAAATTGAACAGTGGAGGAGTATCATGGTCCGTTCGAGAACCTTCTCTTGTTTCCGGATTCTTACCTTCTTGTTGTTTCACCCATGAGAGCATATACATTTTGAATTCCTTATGTTCAGCTAGATCTTCCTTCATGGTTTCCAGGGAAGATGTAATTCCATGAACATCCGAATGAAGCTGTTGGATCCGTTCCTCGTGATTTTCCAAATGAGCATGTAGGTGTGTCTCCATAGATCCGGCAGGTCGGACCAATGATACGTAATCAAAGAATTACGTGATAAGCTTGTATTAATAAGGAAATTCTAAGGGATTACAATATAGGAAAAATGCAGAAGATGGTACAGAAGGATCCCAGGGAAGAATTCCCTTCTCAAAAGCCTAACTAAAAGGTTATTTTCTACATGCCCCCCACTCTCCCCATGCAACCTTATTTTATAAATAATTCCCTTTATGTACCTTGGGCCGTCTAACATAAACTTTCCAAGTCGTGGGCTTAGAAACAATTGGGTCTAATTGACTATCCCGGTTCAATATTGCATCAAAGACAGAACTGGACAAGACAGAACAGACAAAATGACGAATTTACTCCTAATGAGTTGTTCATATCTTTACTTTTTTATGTCTAACAAGATTATTAATTACTTGTTGGACGATTAGTTACAAACGCTTTTTGACAAGCCTTTGTTGTTATATATTTTGATTAATTTATGTAATTTATTAAATTATAATAAAATAAATATTTTTATAACAAAATATAACAATATTTTTATAACAAAATATAGCATTGGAAAGTTTTCGTCAAGATGATTAAAATTACACCAAAATAAAAAGTTTATGCAGTTTCCAACTTTTATTTTTTATACTTTTTCTATATTATTTTTGATTATTAATATTTAATGAATTACATAAACTAACCAAAATATAAAAACCGTATAAAAATAATATTTTGAGGACGGTAAAGTAAAAGTTTAAAGAGCATAAAATACAATAAATAAAATTTAAATAAAGAACAAAATGTAAAGAAGAAGGCGTATTTGATGTTTTAGAAGAGAATTAAGTTTTATTTTGATGTTATATTAGTAAAACATAGGTATGTTCCACCTTGTTCCATGGGGTGGGGATGGAACACACTTGTTCCACTTAGTTCTTGTTTGTTCCACATAAAAGTGCCCAAACGTGAAAAAGTTATCCCTGTTTTGTGTGGTCCTGTCCGGCGTAGCAAATGCACCTTAAATGTTTAAGTTAGCATTTCGGAGTGCAAACCCTCTAACAGGAACAATCTAGCTACTTGGTTTTTCTTCAAAAAAACCACAAAAGGAGCAAAAAGTTGGAGTTGTTTATGGGAGTTACTTGGTACTAATTTGTTTGTATATAGTTGTTAACCAGCTTAGCTATGATCTTATACGCCAAAATTGAAGAGAGATGTAGATTAAACTTTCGATTCGATTGAGGGATCTCCTGGTTGATGGGAAGTACCCGTGATGGCTCTATGAATTATCTATTTTTGAGACCAAAATTAAGGTGGCACCATCAGTCAAATAAAATAGATCATTCCTTTGGGAAGAACCAATCAAAGATCATTCCTCTTTTTCAAGAATCAATTGATATAATATTTCAACTCAGGATAGCTATTAGATCTTACTTCATGCTCAATGCTGTCTCTCTCCTCTGCTGTGGTACGATGAGGGTCTACATAATCCTTCCTATGCTTTATCAAGAACTGCTCTAAAGTCCCAATGCTCTCTAGCTGAGAAATAATAAAGAATAGCAAAAAATGAAGTAGTAGATCAAGAATAGTCTAAAGTGCATATGGTAGTCAAGATTTGTATACCGTCTTCAACGCAGCCTTCGTGAAATGTGATCTTTCCCGAGGTTTATGCATGATAAAAGATGCCAACAGAGCTGCCCTTTTGGCCTGTTGACGGTGATCATACATCAGAAATACATTATTATTATCAAATACATTAGAATAAATCTGGCATTACGACTGTAGACACCTCAAAAACTCAAATAGTATATAGATAGGTAGGATCACTAAACTCAAAGCTGCAAACTTTAAGAAAAATAACTTAACGAGCAAAATCATATTGAACTCTGGTAAACAAGTTAAATATTATAAATGAGAACCAACCTCGTTAAATCCCAAAGACAACGCCCCCCTGTTGACAGCATCTTTAAAGTCCTCAGTCCGATCTCTAATCTTAGCCATGTCTTAGCATCCACCAGAAATCACCTTAAAAATATTCTTCAGATAAAAGAAATAGTGTTAAAAGAAGTACCAACCTTTTCAATGGTCACAGACTAAGAAATATTGACAGGAGATATTAATTTTGCAAGCATAGTAAATATTTTATAGATAAAGTCCACATTCTTAGAGTAGGTTATCTTGGCAATATTCTTTAAAGATAAATTTCAACCAAGTCGTCATGGTAATTTGCCTAGGCATAGACAAATTAACAAGCACATAATATGATCATACCATCAATTAGAACACCTTGAATGTCAATTCTAATAGAACCAACCAATAATTTCATGTCAAAAGAATCAAATCAAATCCTATTTGCTAACACAGAATATTAAAAATAGGGGATTGCAACAATGGACAGGAGAAGCATGATGGATAAAAGATTACATATCGATGTACCTTGTTTGATTTCCTGGAATAATATCAAAGAAAATGGATGGAAGCAGGAGGATATGGCTACATGGACAAGGAGGTGACTGCCACGGGGACTTGCGGGGGTTCTGATATCGCGATTCGAGAGGCGAAAATGTGGACAGGGACTTCTGAGCGTGTGTTCTGAAGGTGAAAAGGGAAAAGAATACTGGCTCATCAAACTACCAGTTCTGTAAAACATGAAGTTAAGGCATTTCATAAGCAAAATTGACAGGAAAAAACTACAGGACGACCTAAATTGATAGCAGAAATGAAAAAATCGTCAAAAGGCACCAGATTAGTAGGTTTCTTGAAGAGATCCGGCACCACCTGTGAATACAATGTGATGCCTAGTTTCTGAGGTTTTTGATGGATATGTAGCAGAGTAGCAGTAAGGGTTCATTGTAACTTCATAGAAATGTATTCAATTTCAATGGGAGATGTAAATTATATAACTGTTTTTTTTAAGAGGTGTTGAAGTCTGAAGTCTTATTTCACTTCTAATTGATAAAAGTTAGTGCTAAAGTCTGAAAGCGAATCAATAAGACTTTTTGTTTTTGTAAACCGGTAAATGTCTAAATATGTATAATGTACATTTTACCCTAAGAATATTATAATGTTGAATTTATATCAATACAAAATTTACATCTACCAGTCAATTCTAAATACATTCAAATCCTACCAAAGTACATCAATTGATTCAAACACAAGAGAAAATATGAACGAAGTTTCATAGCAACTAAAATCAATCTTCATTTGTAAACTTTGCCACAACTGAATTTGCTAAACTTTGAAGTCTCTCCTGTGATAGGCTTATGTGACCCAACAAATAAAGATTGCATGGTATAGTTGTTATCTTGCAAGATGAGGCTTGGAAGTTGGAACTTAAGCACAGAGAACAAATACACCAAACGGACAATGCTCATCAACCACATTATATTACTGGAAGTTTTAAGCAAGTGCAAGTTGTTTTCTTCATATACTCAAGAGTTCATAAAGCTGAGTTCCAATCCAGTAGATTTTCTTTATTTCACTATTAAATAAGATTACATGATTTGATGTCCATGCTTATAGTGAAATAAACTTTATAAGATCAATATATAGTATGTTGACAGCACAGCTTAACATACTGAGTGGTAGAGCTCATAAAAAAACATCTAATTCTTATGATGGGTCTAATTACCTACACCCTTCTTCAAGAAGTCGAACCCCTGCCATCCGACAAAAGATGGGTACCATTGTCCTTATGAATTAAATCCAACCAATGTTTCCCCATATTCTACCATTATCAATGTTTCACCCAAAATAATATTGAATTATATCACATCAGGACGTATTTTTAACAAAAGATCCGCATACAAACATCTACAACAGTGCTGTTGATCTTTAAAAAAATCAAAATTGGGAAAACTTACCAGTAAATGAATCTGCTTTGGTTCCTTGAGAGCTTGTTGTTCTTCTTGAATTTGTACTGTAATCACATGAGATGAGACCGATTAGGTTTCCCGATTGAGAGAGGAGTGGAGTGTTTGGGATCTGGGATCGATTAAGATAGTTGAGCAATTGATGTGGGATCGATTAGAGAGAGGTGGCCGATTGATCGATTGAACATGAAGTTGGAGAGCGATTGAGAGTTGAGAGCCGATGGATTTGGTTAGGAGGACGGTAAGAGAGAAATTAAGAGGTGTGTTAGGGGCACCTAGACGGGCTCAAATTTACAACTTATCCGGATCAGCTATACAATGGATGACTTTTCGGTAGCATGGTTAACTAGGTTTATTGGTCTATCTGGTTTATTCGTACAGTTATTTGGGTTATTTATTTATGGTTTATTCGCATAGAATATAGCTTAATCACACAGATAGAAATGGTGTGTTGTCCATATTCAGTCACAAAAATAACACTCATACCCCTTATTTAAAACACTGTTTACTTCTCAGATGAGACACCCTATAGTCGGCCTCTTTATGATTTTTTATTTTAATGTTCAAATAATTAATATTGGGGGTAAATCGGTCATTTATGTTATTCAGACTGTTAATTCAAATAAAAAAAAGTAAACAACATCCATTTATCCAGACCGACAAATTTATTCATACAAGACTTAATAAAAAATTTGTTAAACAGCAAGTATGCTTATTTGGTAGTAATTTAATAATATAAAAAGTAGTCTATTCATTAACTTTTTAGGAGAAGATTTATATAAAAAAATTATTTTTTTCGAATATGTCGCTCCCACTTAAATAATACGCTTCTTTCTTCCATGAAACAACCTTATAAACAAAAATCTTCTCAACATATACAAATGAATTAATTTAGACAGACAATTTTATACATGTCTGGCTTAATAGAAAACTAACCACATAACTCATTAACCTCTTATCAAATAGGATGGTTGTAAGAGGGCTTTTCTTATCTTTTTATCATATAAAAACCAATCTAAAAGTATCAATGTCTTATCAGTAAACCATAAGAGGTTTTTCATAAAAGCAAACATCTAATATATCTTTAAGTTTATGACTTGCATTTATCAAATAAGGGGTTGTTTACGACACACTTACCTGGATAAGTGTTTAGCAAGTTGAGAGGTTAAAATTATAGTTTTCATAATGTGTATAAAATATGAGTTCAATTAAATCAAATCAAATCAAATAAACTTAGAAATAAAATAATAAACCAAACAAGATATGCATCAACTATGATAACTTTTCTGATAGTAAATTGTCAAAACAGTCATGTTTTACCTACTAGTTGGATTGTTGGTTAAAACTGATGAGAAATGATGTGTCACCATCAAGTAAATTATCTCAACTTTCTGCTTTGAAAAACGTTAGCTTTTGCTTTCAGAAAATATTATAATTGATTCGAAACTTCAGAAATACAACTTATTTCAAATTTTGTTGATGCATGATGTATTTTGCTCATATGAAATGGAAGTTAGTACACATGCACCGTTCATCATATTAAACATGTTACAACTTCTAGTAGTTGATTTTGTTGGAGCCCCTCGTCAGGTAGACCGAATAAAGGGGTTTCATGTATTCTCAAATGGTATCAAAATCTATTTTAGGGATTCCCCACACTACAAGAAATTGGGCCCATCTTGAGGGGACGTGTTGAGATCGGTTAAATTTTGACCATTTCTCATTAATATATGTTGGACTACCCCACCTTCCAATGACTATTTTAAAAAGTAATCTAACGGTATTTCATATATTCTTACATGGTATTAAGTCAAGGTCTGCCACTTTGAGATATTCAATACTCTAGGAGAATATGTGCTTGTCTAACCCCCTCTCAACACTCCAAGATAATCTGCACGCTGCACGCATCTTGTCATGATTAGAGGTGGTGTTTTGGAGTCTCACAGCTGCTTAGACTTGGATCATTTCTTATAAAATATATGTTAAAACATTCATTCTCTCCTCAATGCTACTTTTGAAGAATAATTTAATAGAATTCCACATCTTGTGGCAAGTAACCAACACAATCGATCCATGTGGGCCCACCAAACATGCTTCACATGTCCATGTCATCATCGGACCTTGTATATACAAACAATGCTCGAAATACTAAACTTGTATATATTATCATTTAAAACGTTATTCAATATGGTTTTTTAAATGGGACACAATTTAGATATCCCAATAAATTACAATGAAACCTACAAATTATATATCAGCAAATATGCTGTAATTTTTGGAGTCCACAGCAATAAGCCTCATTGCAGCAACTGCTGCTGCAACAGACATGAACCCAAAGAAAATCACATTAAGCCAGTGCCATGCCTTCTGCATAGAAGTGAGCTTGTTCCTCTTAGCCACCAAATACATGTGGTTTGCAAGAATAAATGTAAGTGGGAAGGTACTGATAGCTCCGGTTAGGCTCATGAAATCTCCGATGAATGGCAGTGCCGCCGCAAGTAAGGTGGTTATGGTTAGGTAACCGCCTCTCATCATCACTCTGAATGACAAGTTTTTTACGGCTAACGCACTTCCTTTGATCCCGTACTTTGTATCCAGATACTCGTACATTGGACTTGCAAAAATCTAAAAAGGGCATATTACAACCGTGTTAGTGTAAAACGGAAGGGCATCCTGTTTTGGACCAAGGGTAGGTCTGATAAAAGTCGTTGAGCTAAAAAAAATTAGAAGGTCATGCTCCTAACTGAAAACTCATTTTCAGAGGACCAAGACGAATGTTTAACCGTAATACCTTGTCCTACAAAAATTACATCGTTTGTATGTTTGACTATTTATCAAACGTCTACAAACTTATGGACAAAATAAAGGAATCTTATGGGCTCCAATCATCGGTATCAATCTTGTTGTAACAACGACGATCTAGATAGATACTTGACTTCAAAACTTTCAAAAGATGAAAGTTGCGATTTTTTAAGGAATGGATAATATAACATACAAATATGCAATATGATGCGTATATACTATATAGCAGCAAAGGCAAAAGTCTGGCATTTAATCATCAGCCATAACTTTTTACTCTATATTTCTACATATTTTCAAACTCTTTTTCTTTAAAGAACTCCACCCCTCCTGTATCCCCAGCCCAACCCCATATCCCATGTATTCTTAGTCAACCATTTGGGGAACTCAGTCACAGTTTCATCATTTGAAGAGTGTTTAAATGCATAAACGGAAGTTAGAAGAAAGAATCTTACATGCAAAGCTATGACAGTTTGAAGAAAGGCAGATAAATTGGCAAATGTCTTCACCCAAACTGGACCATTAACGCTGTTGAGCAAATAAGCAGATGCATCATTCCCGTAAGCCCAATAACCCATGAAGGCAACAGCGTATAACGGCACAACTCCTACTGTAAATTGGAAGTAGAGAGCTTTCATCATGTTCCCAACAACCGGTTGTCTCACTGTTGCCTAAAAGATCAAAAGATTATGAGCAGAAAGTAGACAAAGGGGATATAACACACCACAAAAAGCATCATTCACCAGAGGGTCATTGGCGCAAAGGTAGGTTCTTGACTTAACTAACCTTTTTTAAAAGAAATTACAGAAATAACCCAAAAATACATTTTTTCAGAAAGAGCCACCAATTTCTCCAATTTTTTCACAAAAGGAGAAAGGGCCCACAAAAATCTGGAAAAGTTGTTGCTGATGGGACTCCTTGGCTGGTTTCGTGAAATGAGAGGAGATTCGTGAAATAGCTTTGGGCCATTTCCATGAAATGCCTCATGAATCTCCCATCATTTCACAAAACCAGCCAACGGGTCCTATTAGCAACAACCAAGGCCGTTCTTTAGCATGTTAAATGTGTGATTTTGAGAATAGGGTCCCCGAACTCCTTTTGTGAAAAAATTGGAGAAATAGATGTTTTTTTTTTGAAAAAAATGTATTTTTGGATTATTTTTGTACATTTAAAAAACGGTTAATTAAGTCAAGAACCCCAGAGGTCAAGGATTCAAACCTCACCAAAGGTGATGAGTGTGTGTGATTTCAGTAAAAAGATTTCGTGCTTTCACCTGTATCTCTGGAAGCATTCCCGTGTTGAAAGCAAAAACAAGACTTGCAGAAGCACCAATAGTTGTAAAGACCTTGTTTATGTCTGACCCGGGGATGCCATAGTCCCTGGGTGGAGCTTTAATTCCTGTAAACAACAGATACAATATCTACTTAAATCCGGAACAAACGAATTCTTAACTCAGGAAGTGAAAAATAGCCAAAAAAATTTGCACACTTTATGAAGCAAAAACATTCTATCAACATGAAAAAGTAAGGGGGTGCTTGGTTTTGGGTAATAGGATTAGGGGGTGGCAAATGGAAACAGAAATCATTAATGATGTCTGGTTTGATATAATGGAATAGCCATTACCAGATACCGGGCAGTGAAGCATTCCCCTGAATCGAACCAAATGCCCCCTAAACAAAAATTGATCTTTGATAGCATCTTCCAACTACAGACAGGATACTGTTTTTACATTTTATTTCATCTAAAATGTGTAAATATGATCCATGAATATAAATATATTAAATGGGCTAAACCAATAGGACTGTTAGAGTGAAGAAAAGGAGTTCATACCATCACGAAGAGACAGGGAAAATGCTATAACGATATATACTAGACTGAAGAATGTTGAAAGTCCCAGCCAAAACCTCAAAGCCGACAGATGAGGGATACAAATTGCAAAAAGGCCACAAGCAAACCCTGCCATTGCAATAAAATATGGGAGCTTCATGGCATTGTCATCCCTGAAGAGTACATAGGTAGCCTACAAATTAAACCGAAAAGGCTTTAAGTATCTCACATATATTTCCTACATAAGAACATTATAACTGAGTAATCAAAATTGCAACCGAAAAAGACATCTTATATTTTTATAAAACAGTAACCCAAGGGTCTGTAAATCATATTTTATGAAATTGCTGTGATTAACTACTTTCTTATCCCTTGACACAGTTCAATGGAAGCGTGACAATTTGTCAAATATCTAAAATACCATTCAACAAAGACAAAAAAATGGATCTTCAAGGCCAAACCATTACCACCAACTCTTTTTGTTGTGGTGATAATGGGTACATAAGCATATGTAACTTGGAAACTTCCCAAAAAGAGAATTGTGCAATTTTCACTGGATATCCCAAAAAAGAAAGTATTGTGATGTTCAAAGATAGAGGGAAACCAAACGAAACAAGCCCAATATATCCCACTCAGAGGTGGGATCTTGGGGATAAAATGTAAAAAAGACCCGATCTCTACCTTAAAATAGTAGGGCAATTGTTCACAGGATAGAGGGAGTAAAACATATGGACATAAGTTTAACAAGTTGAGTAACAAAACCACCCCCATAGTGTCTCTATTGATGTTACCTTAAGAGCTTGACCAGCCAAAATGACATAGCCGACATTGATCATGAAAAGGTTTATGTATTGCAACACCCATGTAAGAGAATAAGCCTTTGGGCCTGCAATTATCCAAAGAGCCTCAATTATTTTTCTAAATTTAGTAGCTATTATATATATAGATATATGTGTGTGTATGTATCATGTACGCATGTATGTAAGCAGAACTCTATTTTTATTGATTGGTCATTACCATATATGAATCCTGCAAGGTCTCTGTATCTGATATGCCTCTTCCCACCAAACTCATGAAGCTTTGCAATGAGAGCATTTGCATATAGTGATATCGCTGTAGCTAAGAGTAAACCGACAACTCCACCTACCCAACCAAGAGGAACCATGACTGCACCTGAATACCCCAGCACATAAGCACTGTTGATACCAGTCGTAAGAACAAAACCGACTTGAAACCATGAATCTACATCAATCAAAACATGTAATTAGATCTCCATTTTAGAACGATTCGATTAACTCTATTTAAGCACCACAAGCAAACAATGTTTCCTCAGACTATTACCATAAGGTTCAAATAACAAGTAGTGATTCATTACAACCTATACATATCAATCAAAAAAGTTTAAAAATCCCTCTTACTATGCTTCCCATGAAAGTTACAACATTTGACTAACATGTAATTTAGTGAAACTGCTTGACCATTAATCAATTATCTACAAATTTTATGGACCAAAATCAATTAACATAAATAGTCCTTAATGTCGACTATGGACAAATATGTAATCTTAGATTGAAAAAAATTACCGAAACGAAAAACTTTGGAATTTTCATAGGAAACCCACATGATTTTTTGTAATTTTCATGGGATGGAGTTGTTGTTCCCAAAACAACATAAAGCTTCCTTTCAGCGAGAATATGTGGAACTTTATCAAATTGCTCTATAAAAGATCCGTTGAGGAGAGAGAAAGTTCCAACATTTAAGAGAAATAGTCCAAATCTAGCTGATTTCGGACTCTGACATGTCTGTTCATTAGAGGCTAGACGGGCACAAATTGTCATCTTCAGAGGGGCTAGACAATTATAGATTTCCCCATAGGTCAGGTCCGTTCCGTTCCAACTTATAAAGCGGAGAAATGGTCCAAATCTAGCAGACACATGCTTTCTATCACAGACCACAGCCATGATTAAATTTTCCGAAACAAAACCTTACATAGTCACAGAAAAAGGGGAATACAAACTTGATTTACAAATTCAGAACCAAGTTCTATCAAGTACTGAACTGATAAAATTTATGTTATAACCATTACAAAACCGGCTATTACCTTGCTTATAATTTTTGAAGTTTGGTATCCGTTTATTTCTCACAAAATTGCAAAATTCTTGTAAATTAACGTAAGAACTGTATATATTTGAAATCTAAAATCATACGGCAGTTCGTTTTGAAAGAAAGATGATAAACTAATGAACAAAAAATAGAAATTCAACCCGTGTATACTACCATTAACAGATTGAAATCAGGAAAACAAACTAACCGCTGCTAATCTGATGAGCAGTTTCAGGAATTTCAATGGCTAATTGATCATCGGAGTAGACCTTCGTGGGGCGAGTCGAAACGTCACCGTCCCGCTGGCTCTCCATTGCAACTACAGAAGAATCTCCAGGTTCTTCTTCTCTTGACAAGAGATATAGTCTATCTTCCTCTTCCGAAACCACTAAGTTTACCCTATAAGCCAGTGATGCGTATTTATATGAATCTAAATGTATATATTCCCCCCTCCTCTCTCTCTCTCTCTCTCTCTCTCTCTCTCTCTCACACACACACACACACACAGAGATACACTGCGTGTGTGTGAATGCTTCAAAAATTCAACGGATTTCCAAAGACTTATTCAAATTAAGTATCGCAAATTGGAAAGATGAGGGTTTGGATTAAGCCCCCAAAAAGAACTGCGGGAAAAACACACAGTAGAATAATTCGTATATATGGAAATTAAAATAAGATAGATATATACAACAACAGATTCAGGGGATCTATGACCTTTTCTTGGGTGTGGTGTTTTAATGGCGGAAGATAATAATAATAGTAGTAATAAATAAGAATCAATTTGAGAGAGAACTGGATCCAGAAAAAGTCGTTGATGTATGCATAATAAAACTATGGCGATTGGTTGCCAAATTCAACGGTTGTCTTTTCTGCCCCCGCAGTTCAGACCATGTTGATTTATGGGGCAAAAGAAAACAGAAATTTTAAACAACCCCCTCTTTTTTAATTTTAAGAAGGTAAACCATTATTATCGTCTTGTTAATACCTTAGAAATGAGTCTAATATTAAATATTTTTTTATTTAATTATATTATTATATAATATATATTACAAAAAAATATTTTTAATACTTATATTTTATACCCTTGTAGTTAATTATTTAATTTATGGTGTGTCCCCTCTTTTTTTATTTTTTGTTACATTCTTACCACATTAATATACATAATTGTATATTAACTAAAATACATTAAAAATACATTTTAATTTTAACAAGTTACATCATTATAATCGTCTCGTTAATACCTTCGAAATGAACCTAATATTAAATATTTTAACAACTTGCATCATTACTTTTTTTACATATTTTTATTTTGTTCAAGTCTTTTACTCAACTTGGTGTGGATGCTCTAACTAGGGTGCTCATGAGTTAGGTTGATCGGGTTGAGTACATTTGAAAAAACCAACCCAATGCTTGCGTTTTGGAAAAATCTTAACCCAACCCAACCCGTACAGGTTGGTCAGGTTGATACTTGGTATATTAAAATATTCTTCTAACCTTGAATATGTTATTTCTCTACTCATAATTTTTTTTCATCATCAACCATTTGATACAACTTATTCATATTTCATACGTATATCATATTCAGTTAATTTTCTCAATTTACATATATATGTTCACAGTTACTGAATGAGTTATATAAATATATGAATAGATTGAAAATATGTGTATATGAAAAGCATACATGATAGTTAATTGTTTAATGTATATATTAATATAAATTCATCAATCATATTAAATCAAAGAAATAAAAGGATATCGGGTTCATAGGGTTGGGTTGGGTTCTAAAATATCGATCCAATACACACGTTTTGACAATTTTACAACTCGATTAGACCATAGGCGGACCTACCTAAGTGGTATGGGTGGCACGTGCCACCATATTATTTCTCCGCCGAAAGGGTAAAAAATTTAGGTTTGTGAATGGTGCTACCGTATCGTTTTAGAAGGTGCTACCGTATTTTCCTGAAATCCAAATAGTGCAACTAAAAAATTTAGGTTTGTGAATGGTGCTATCGTATTTTCCTCAATTCTATAAAAACCATACTTTTTATAATTATTTTTGGGTATATATTGACATTTTTCAAAAGATGAAGACGTGTTGGGTACAAGTTTATGAGTTGTTTATTGGTCTTATAAAAACCATATTTTTTGTAATTATTTTTTAGATGTAGATTATATTATTAGGGCTGTAAATGAACCGAACGTTCAGTGAACCGTTCGCCGCGATGTTCGTTTACTTAATAATTGAACGGACATGCACAAATTTTTTTGTTCGTTTAGTTAAACGAACGAACATGAACAAAAGTCACATTCGTTCATTTATGTTCGTGAACTTTCGTTCATTTACCATTCGCTTACGTTCGTTTATGCACTAAATTTAATGTATAATCTTTTGTTTATTTAATTTGAATTCAAATAATATTTATGTATGTTCGTTTAGCCCGTTCGTTTATGTTCTTTTAGCCCGTTTGTTTATGTTCGTTTCTCTACGTTCGTTTAGCATGTTAACGAACGAACATAAATGAACACAAACACACCAGATTTCTAAAAGAACGAACACGAACACAATGATTTTTCGTTTGTTTATCGTTCGTGTTCGTTCGTTTGTTCGGTTAAGTTAAACGAATGAACATGAACAAGCCTCCGTTCGTGTTCGTTCTGTTCATTTACAGCCCTATATATCATATTAATTATATGGTGCCACTGTTTGAAAATTTTTCTGGGTCCGTCCCTGGATTAGACATCGGGTTGGGTTATTTCGCATTGGGTTGGGTTGGGTTGATCGGATTGGTCAGGTTTTTGAGCACCCCTAGCTCTAACACGGAGGATCAAAACATAAAATTTCTAAAAAAAGTATATTCATTTTTAACAAATAATCTATTATAGAGATTTTAACATAAATTATATTATATAATATGCTCTAATTTATCATCACAATACACTTTTTAGAAAAAAAATAATAAAAAAATAATAAATCAATCTCATTAATATAATTGTATAAAATGATCATTTTTCTCTTCCAATATCAAGTTTTAGATAATTCTCTGTATTGAGAGTTTTTTCTATAATTCTCTATTTTTAAAAACAAGATAGAAAAACCGTTGAACCATTTTAAAAAACAAAAACTCATTTTTATTTTTATTTTAGAAAAATTGTTGAAGATGTTTTTATTTGTTATTATAACCTTAAAAAATATTGTTATTGTATTATTAAGTAACATTATTATTATTATTATATTAAGATTATATTTTTTTTAATATTAATTAATGTGATATTATTATTACATTGAATCACAAAAATGGTTAAAATCGGAGACGACTTAACCCAAATACCTCATTTATTCAAATTGTCACAATATGCTTTGCAGAATCCTTTTAAAATATATATATATATATATATATATATATATATATATATATATATATATATGAATGGAAGGAGCATCACGCATGTATTTTCAAAATTATAAGAGAAAAAAATGCATTTAATACATCTCCCAATTAGTAAGACTTATCTGAATAAGACTGTAAGAGCATCTGAATAGCTTTATAAAGCAGAGATTTTAAAGGATTTGGAGAATATTTTGGTCAAACAACTATTTTAAAATTAAACAAAAAATAAGAGAGAACTACAAATATATTTGAAATTCAATGTTGACTACAGATATTATTTTAATTTTTTTATCAATAAAATAAAATGAATTATTATTTCATTTAAAGAAAATTAAAAATATATTTAAATGATAAATTTATAAAATATTCTATATCATATAATTGATATAAAAACCTTTAAAATAAAGTATTTATTAAAATTAAATGTAATTTTTTAAGAATTTAACTTTTGATTATTTATTTTAAACTTTTTGAATGTCAATAATGCATTTTACAAGTTGCAACAACACCCCTTGAGATTTTGTTCTTTTTAGCACAAAGTTTTATTTAGAAAAATTATAATACTAATAACGATTTTTTTTAAAAAAAACACAGTTTATCATGAATAACCATTAAACATTCGTGGATAGTGTTAATCATAAATATTACTTAAAACTATGGTGAAAGTCATTGGTAGCCTACGACTTAAGCATTTTAAGGAACTTACAAATCTCATTTTCTATCAATATGATACGAGTTGTAACATATTGACATTTAATTATTAAACACCAATAAAAATTGATGTAACCATATAAAATATTGTATGGTGTGTTTGAATGTTTACGTTTTAACTGATAATTAGGTAAGAAACTCTTATAAAAAAAAACACAACCGTTAGAATAGATATAGAATTATTATTAATTATCTGTATTATACATTTATACTCATATAAATCATATTGGTTTGCCTATTGCTATAGCTCAGTTGACAAAAGGTGAAACGAGTTTATCCAATTATAAGACATGTCTTGAGTTTGATCTCAGACTCTCCCACTAGCCTCAATCGCTGAATTAAAAAACCTAATTTCATGTACGATAAACCTGCCTGTACTTTCAAAACAAATTGCAAAATTAAAAACGAGATTGTTTTTGCAATAAAATCGTAAATTATATTACAAAATTAATATCTCAAGTTCAAATACAAACAGTTCTAACATGCATATCTTAAGACTAGGAGGGGGGGTGGGTTATAGCCTGAACTGCACCGTGAATGCCTTGAATTGCTTGGTCAACTCCTTATGCGCCTTCTTTACGCATTCCAAGTCTTCCCTCTTTCTATGCCCTTCTTCGACCTTCTCTTTTAGCGTCTCTACGTGAAATTATTCAGCATTTGACGAACATAGAACAATGTTTGCAATAAATAATTAAAACCAATATACATATATTACAAGTATATGAAACATACCTCCTCATCGCGAGAACCATACGAGGTACTGCTGCTACTGGTTCCGAGATCACCGGTTATAGCAACCCAGGGATCCTGACTAGTCCCATATCCATAAATGCGGCCCTTGTGCCGGCCTCCAACACTACATTCCCACAACTCTGGGTCATCAATGGTGCTCGGATCTGAGTCAACGTATGTCTCTTCTCTAGCTGTGAATATGACGACTACGGTTTACCGGTTTGATAGCATAACAGCTATAATTCGAACATATATGTTACCTGTTAAAAAGAAATATAATGCAACTATAACATTTACACCTATCGTTTGTCCAACAACAATGGCAATCTAAGTTAATTAATAGTTATATATCATATAAAACTAAACGATCCTATAAAACTAACAATTCTATAGAACAAATTATACAAAATAAATCAAAGTAAAGCTCATATGAATAAGAAAAACTTAGAAGAACACATATATTATAAAATAACGTCGGTGATTTACTACGGATTAGCGACATATCCGTCGGTGATTTATGACGGAATTCGGACGGATTTAATAACTAAAAAATTTAAATTTAAATATCCGTCGCAAATCACCGATGGATATTCAATTTTTTTTTTTTATTAAATCCATCGCAAATGACTGATAGATTTGCAATCCGTCGTAAATCACCGA